GAAAAAAAAAAAAAAAAAAAAAAAAAAAAAAAAAAAAAAACACATCATAGTAAAACCAATACCTTCTCAGCTTCGCATCGAAGCTAAAAGTATGTCGAATAAAAGAGGGAGATAAATATTATTTCTCATCAAAAAATTGTATTAATCCATACACTTTTCAATAAGTTATAGCATTATAAAGTTAAAAATGTAAAATATAAAATCGAGAATTTTCACACAAAAATAGCCATTTTTACCGTGAACACAAAATAAAATCCGATATTTTTTTNCATTTTTACCGTGAACACAAAATAAAATCCGATATTTTTTTTTTCCATGATAAAGCATATTACATTAGCTTTAATTTAAGATATATATAAAAGTGTCAGACTTCCCGGAACACTTTCAAAAGTTAATTTTTTGCGAAAAAATTGTCATTTTGAATGCCCCCCTGTGAGTAGGTTAGGTGTCAAATTTATAAAAAAAACTATACCAAATTTTAGGTAAAGACATCATGCATCTATAAAAAAAAATATATTGATTTGGTCATTTTTAAAAAAATAATGTTAGTTTTAAATAAAAAAAAAAAAAAAAAAATATTGAAAATTAGTGATTTTTAAATTTGTAATCATTTTGGAGATTTCTCCCATTTACGGGGAACGAGGGAAATTTTTTTCAATTTTTGAGGGTAATGTCTTCGGCTAAATACGACTTGTGATCTTTTGACGTTTCGTTGGAAGAAATTGGTTCAGTGAGAGCCGAGAAGAAGTGGTAACAGACACAAAAAAAAAACATATCATAGTAAAACTAATACCTTCTTGGCTTCGCATCGAAGCTAAAAAGTAGCACTGGTTATCGACTAGTAGAATTTTTATTTAGACAATTTTTCATTTAATAGTAAAAAAATATTTATAAGTTCCCATTTAACTTTCAAAAGTTATCCCTAAAATCTACTACTAGAAATAATTTTTTTTTAAATAAACTTTACATTTACAATAGTTTTAACAATGGTCAGGCAATCTTAATATACAGACCACTTATTTCTATCCAATCAGCAATATTTTATAACTACAAAATTTTGAAGTATCCCCCGCCTAAACATTTAATGCTCTGAATTACAACTTTCCTAAACACTTAGTAATGGTGTTATGGTCTATTTAAAAATTTGGTAGCATTTCAGTTAAAAATAATACTGACTTAGTTCAATAATTATCTGGTTATACTATTCAAAATAATGATAGGTTAACTTCTTTTGAAGCAGAATACTAACCTTATTTTCCAAGTGTTCTGATAAATATAACAATTGGTTTTATTAAAGACTGGCTAAAGGAATAAGATAAATGAAATTATTAATTTAACTAGGTAGAATTATTAAGAATTTTAGTAAAAATTTAAAAGATTTATTTAGTACACCTAAGGATTAAGTAGAAGAATGGAGGAAATCGGGC